CCCCCCACATCCATCAGTCCTCAGTTTTTGTCAGCATTCAAGAGTCTCTCATGGTTTGCCTCTCTCCCTTTCCCCCACCAACACCCTAGAGGAGAAAGCAGGAAACAACCTCCTTGACCTCCACCGCAGCAACTTCTTACTTGACACATCCCCAAAAGCAAGGGAATCAAGAATAGGTTTCTTTCTTAACATCCAGCGCTGTGAAATTCTTGTTTTGTTTTGAAGAACGATTCTAGAGTTAAAGGATCTAGAGATAAAGGATGACAATTCTTTTTTCCTTTTTTTTTTTTTTTTAATGCTTTCTCAATACAGAAGTTTTCACTGTGCATTTGAGTTGCCTAAGGTGCTCAGGAAATGGGGAGAATAGAGAAAAGGCTTCCAGACCGGTTAGTCCAGTTAAGGCACTTAAGTGGCTTAAGCCTTTGATATTAGTTTAGCCAAGTTAGGAAGTTAGTAAAGCAGGAGGGCTTTCATGGATAAATCCCCCTCCCCCCCCCCCCATTTTAACTGTTGACTCTGTCTACTGGGCACTGTGAATGGTGGCTTTTGTCTTCATGTGCACCAAAGACAGAGGGACGAGAGGCCAAGGTCTACCTCAGAGGGGCCCAATTCTACCTTTGCTTCAGCTGAGATTTCCTCACAGCGTAATCCTGAGGTTTAAATAAAGCCTTGAAGTTACTGCCTTGCTCCCGGCTTCCCAGCAGGACTTCAGAAACACTGCCTGGTCTTTATGTATTTCCACGCTTCGCTTTCCACCCCTGGTGTCCTCCTCTGCAGAGGGAGGGGGTGCCAGGGCGTTCTCAGTGTGGCCCCCAGTCTGAGATGCTTGCATTCCCTTACTCCACAAACCTTCATCGGCTAATAAACAAATGTTGATTGGCTGACAGCATGTGACTCACAGCAGGGATGCTGGTGTGACTCCTGCCCTCACAGAGTGTACCTGAAAATTCTAGTCCCTGATGGTGGGGGAGAGGGTGGCCTTTTGTTTGTTTCCATCCTCGTAGGTAGACATGAGCAAAGACACAGTGGCGTCAGAGAATTTGGAAGTGGGCGAGGAACAGGGCCATGAGTGTAGTTTCTTTGAGAGGAAGGGACATAAGCTGTGAGCACCAGCCAAGCAGGTCTATGGGAGCAGGGGATAATCCGTCAAAGAAAAAGTGTGTGCAGGAGTGTGTGGGGGAGGAAAACTCATTCTCCCTCTACCCTACAAGGTTCTTGGCTCAAACCCTCCCTGTAATAAAAGACAGATTAGCAGGAGAAAATAAAGACGTTTCATTACATGTATATCTCCTGCATACAAGGGGGAGACCCAGGAAACAGCTCATTCCTCACAAGGGCCAAAGCCACCCCCTTAAATACCATCTCCAGCTAAAGACAAAAGAAGATGTTGAGGGGGGCAGTCATGGGGACCCATCAGGCCTAGTGGTGTCAACAAAGGTATGATTGTTATGCAGATTTAAGTCCACACCTTCTCCATTGAGAAGAGTTTCCAGTCCCCATTTCTTTTATAAATGCAAATATCTCTTACAGAAGGGTAACTTCGAGGCTTTCAGAGCTTCTCCTCTGTGGGCTGATGGTTAAAAATAACCAGCTCAAGATAACCCTTGTTCCCAAGAGGCATGTTTTGGGGTGGCAAATTCTGTTCCCCTTCAAGTAAAAGAAGGTAGTAGCCTCAAGAAGTGAAAAAAAATGCCCTGTTTAGAAAGGTGAGCAGGGAGGAGATCTGCCCTGCTTCCCGCAGAGCTGGGCGTGCAGGGCCCACGGACCAGAAAAGAGATTTGGATTTGCGATCAATACCTGAGTGCGTGGAATGAGTTGATTACATTGGACAAGTCTCTCGCTGATGGCAAGGGGACCATATCGGAGAAGAGGCAGGTGGCTTTGGGTGACTAAACAGAAGGTATCCAAATGAGAGATGGAAGAACCTACCAGCATGACCCTGGACTGGGTAGGGAAGGGCAGGTTCCTCGGAGATCCAGCCTGAAGATAATGATGGACACGATTCCTGGATCGTGAGACTTACTTTGCCAATCGCGGTCTCTTCTCCCTTGATCTCGATGAGCATATGAAGGTGAACTGTTCTACTGACTTCTTGTGTGCCTGTTCCTGATACCAATGCCTGGAACATGGCTGCTAATTCGGTGCTCAGTGTGAGTTGACTGAGCCAAGGAAAGCATCTGTCTGTGTCCCGCTTCTAGATAATATGTCAGTGCCACTGCCGTCAATAAGACAGTCTCTCAGAGGCAGCACACTTCTGTAGGGGGAGGGAAATCAGGACCAAGCCACAGGTTCTGGGTCTTTTGGGAAGGAGAAGCTGAACCCTAACATAAGGCCAACTTTAGGCCCGAGGCACCGCCTGTCTGATGCCACCCCTCCACACATACCTCTGTGCTCCCATAGTTATCTGCTCTCAACCCGACACCCCCTTTGCGTTTGGTACCATCCTGGAATTCTTAGGCGTCTGTCTCCCCAGCAAACCACGTGCTTTTGCTTGTGTATCTCTTGCACAAGCTGTGTGCCTGGCACTCGCCTGGCACTTGGTGTGTGTTGATTCAATGACACATCATCCATCTTCCTCGATCACTGAGGCTGCAGCAGTTGAGCACGTATGAAGGATTTCTACAATGGTGATTCTGCCTCCCCTTGGAAGGTAGCAGGCTGGGAAAGATTCTCCTCCTGCTCAGGAAGAAGCTAAGGTCTAGAGGACTGGTTCGCAAAGTCCTTTATGCTTTGAGATAGTCATCAGAGAGGTTCAAGACAAAAGTTCTGATGCATGGGTCACAAGGGTGGAGATCTTGTATTTGATGGTACGAGATTCTGCCTGAGAGCGAGGGAGCCTGTGGGTGCCTTTCAGATCCCTTAGGCGTTTCTGATGTCCGGCAAAGTTTAAGAATTGCTGGCCTGTGTCCGTGCTTCTCAAACCTTCACAGACCTGCAGATCACCGGGGGAATCTAAATAATGCAGATCTGCAGTGAGACCTGAGTCACATCTCTCCTTTTTGTTGTTTAAGCCTATTCATTTTGAGAGAGTATGCACGGGAGGGAAAGAGAGAGAGACAGAGAGAATCCCAAGCAGGTACTGTGCTGTCAGCGCAGAGCCCGCCGCAGGGCCTGATCTAACAAACTGTGAGATCATGACCTGAGCCCAGGTGAAGACTCAGATGCTTAGCCAGCTGAGCCACCCAGGCGCCCCCTAAGTTGGCATCTCTAACAAGCTCCTGGGCAGGCTGGAGCCGCAGACCACACTTGCTATACAAGGATCTGGCTGTCCAGGGACTTTTGAGCCAAATGCAGGAAGAGAGGGTGCAGGTGTGGACGGGAAGGCCAGGAGTGTGTTATGGCTAAAATACCTGGTACAAAGATATACGCTTCGTTGTGCCGTGAACTTGGAAAACAAAACTGTGGTTGGGTGGGCTTTGCCGAGTCCCCCGTTGTCGCCCGGATGTCGAGGTGCAAGAGCAGCTGGCACCAGGGGACCCGCATCGACCAGGTCTGGTCACTCACCACTGACAAAATCCAAAGGCAGAGAGATGCGTTGTGGGGAGATAAGAAAGGGATTTATTTCAATGAAGCTGATACCAGGAAGACGGGAGGCCAATGTCGCAAAGACTGTCTCAACGTGCTGTAAATACTCCCAGGTTTATAGAAGGGAAATGCGGGGCAAAGGTCACTGGGCACCCTCGGGGGGGCAGTGAGGGTCAAATCAATCATTGTCTTGGGGTCACTCACACCGGGTCTCGGGTCTCGCAGCTCTAGGGCTTGTTGCTTGAGGAGGGCGTTCCAGTCCCCACAAAATGCTTTGCCCGCTGGGGCTTTTGCCTGAGTAAAGACATAAGCTGGAAAGAAGCAGCTAATCAATTAGAAAGTACACACTGAAGTCAAAGTGGAGGTGGCTTAAATCTTTGTTGGTTCTTTTCTCTCCGTTTGAGCAGATCTGTCCCTCGATAACGCAGCCCCGGGCCCCTCCACGGAGGTGAGCGCCCCCACTCCCCCTCCTCGGCCACCCGTGCCAGCCCCTGATCTGGTGCCCGTGAAACAAGGATGGAATGTCTGTCTTTCCTGCCCATGCCGTGGGTCCCTCGAGAGCGGGGCTGCTGTCACACGGCCCCCTCCGTCCAGTGTTTGCCACACTGTCCCCCACGGCGTAGATGCAGAGGCTCCAGGATGTGCCGTGGCCGGGCCCTCAGTCACAATGTCAAGACTAGTAGAGAAGAGTCTGGAAGAGCAGCCGAGGGCACTGCCTCTGAGAGTAGGGGTCCGGGGGCCCCAGACTCTGCCTCTTGGGCGCAAGCTGAATGTTTTTAAGAAACAGCAGACACAAGAAACACTCTGTAAACTGAGTAGAGGTTACCATTTTGGAAGAGACATTTACATTCACAAGGGAAATCTCCACTTGGGCGGGGTCTCCCTGTCCGCAGCAGGAACGTTGGCGTGGGTGACCAAACCTCTAGCAACTTGTCATGGAGAAGACCAAGACTTGAATCTGCATGACACATATCTTTTTTTTATTTCTTTTTTTTTTTAAATTTTTAAATGTTTTTTACTTGTTTTTGAGAGACAGAGAGCCAGCGTGAGCGGGGGAGGGTCAGAGAGAGAGGGAGACACAGAATCCGAAACAGGCTCCAGGCTCTGAGCTGGCTGTCAGCACAGAGCCCTTTGTGGGGCTCGAACCCCACAAACCGTGAGGTCATGACCTGAGTCGAAGTCGGGCGCTTAACCGACTGAGCCACT